ATACAAACCAATTTAAATAAAACCTGCACACTGAAGACTCTGTTGTCGTCAGCAACGGGTCAGTGTGACACGTTTCAGCTCGATAGGTTGACGGGAAGTGTGTCAATGAGCCGTCAGAAGATTTTTTTCCACCCAGATAGAACCACACGAGCAAAACCAAAGTAATATAATGCAGTGGTCCCCAGCCTTTTTATCGCCGCGTCCCGTGGGTTGGGGACCACTCATGTAAAGGATATAAACGAAACAACCACTAAAACACACATTGTTTTCCTCCATGTAATCTTTTTATAAAAATATAATATGAAGTAATTGGGGAGGGGTGGGGCTGAAAATTTGAAGAAAAAAAATGCATACAATTAACGCACTTTATTAGAGTTCAATAAATGCTCCTCCCCCCACCCTTTCCCCACCCCACCCCGTCTCGCAACTGCATATTATTTCGCGGACTTTCGGGGGTTAGGGATAAAGGTAGGTCCAAGACGAGTTTAGACACCCCCCCCCCCTTTTTCCCCAACTCCCGAAAAAAAAAGTTAGAAAATAAAATTACTTTTATGCATTACGTAGGGAAAGTCTAAGCAGCAAATATTTTCAAAATTAAAGTCAGAGACTTCCATTGGCACTCCAGAAAGTGTACCCTCCTCAACACATACACATACACACATCGTTTACAGGGTAAAATGAAAAAAAAACAATAACTGCCGACCGTGTTGATCTCTCCTTCGCACCTCTCTATAGGCCACTTCCCATGCAAGCCTGCACAACTCAAAATGTAAATGAAAAGCTTGTGCGGGCCAAATGAAAATAGACCAGGACTTGTGCTGGCCAAAATAAAATAGACCAGGACTTGTGCTGGCCAAAAGAAAATAGACCAGGACTTGTGCTGGCCAAAAGAAAATAGACCAGGACTTGTGCTGGCCAAAAGAAAATAGACCAGGACTTGTGCTGGCCAAAAGAAAATAGACCAGGACTTGTGCTGGCCAAAATAAAATAGACCAGGACTTGTGCTGGCCAAAAGAAAATAGACCAGGACTTGTGCTGGCCAAAAGAAAATAGACCAGGACTTGTGCTGGCCAAAAGAAAATAGACCAGGACTTGTGCTGGCCAAAATAAAATAGACCAGGACTTGTGCGGGCCAAATGAAAATAGGACAGGGGAAAGCTATTAAGAAAATAATAAGAATAAAGAATATTTAGTCACTTCGCAAAGTGGGTGCTGGCGGGCCGCATGCGGCCCGCGGGCGTATGTTGTGCAGACGTGGATTAGAGGATTCAAGACTCCCAGCTTTCTCGGTGTGCAGCTGACAGGTATCATTAGAAGATATAATGAAATTGAAATAACACAGCTGAATCCTGCCCCCCTAAATCTATGAATATGTGTGATTCATATTCTCCTGAAATGCGATTATAATCCTAATTGTGTTCGTATTTTTTATTATAAAGAGGAGATGAACTAAGGAATTCCCACAATACTTTTCCACCTGTCTCTGTCCTGGGCTATCTTTGCTGGTCAAGCCCAATGGAGCATAGGTCATTCACAATACATTTCCATGTGTCCTTGTCCTGTGCTATGTTTGTTAGTTCAGACCAATTTTTCTTTCATTCTCTTTACTTCTGCCTCTATTCCCCTCTTCCATGTGGCTCTTGGTCCTCCTCTTTTCCTGTTACCTTGAGGATTTCAAATCAGGACCATTCTTGTGATTTCTCTGTTTGGTTTTTCCTTAATGTGTGCCCTATCCCTTTCAATTTTCTCTTTTGTATCTTCGTTTCCACTGGAACATTTGATGTTCCTTCCAAAAGAAAAGTGTTATGCATATTGTGTCAAACCATCTTATTTTGAGGATCCTTCGCAAGCAACTGTTAACAAAAACCTGCAGTTAAAATTTGTTTTTTTACTTGAAGTTTCACAGCCACACAGAAGAAGTGCCCAAGAAGTAAACTTAATGTAGAATATGTTTAATTTGTTAACTAAAAAAAAAAATCTATACAGTTAAAACAAATTTTTTGAACCATATTTGATGTATTTGATTTCGCCTTATCACTCTCATTGCTTATATACAACTTGTGTTTGTTGCTAAGGTAAATAGTGGATTCATGACGTCAAGGGCTTTGTAGTCGTTTATGACTATATTTGATCTTATTTTACAGCACGTGTGTGTGTGTGGGGGGGGGGGGTGGACAGGGTTCCCTTCCATCACATACTAACTCATTCTATTCCGCTTTTTTGGTATTATTGTGCTGGTCTTTTCATAGTATGTTATCCTTTCATATTGTGCTTGTCTTTTCATAGTATGTTATCCTTTCATATTGTGCTTGTCTTTTCATAGTATGTTATCCTTTCATATTGTGCTGGTCTTTTCATAGTATGTTATCCTTTCATATTGTGCTGGTCTTTTCATAGTATGTTATCCTTTCATATTGTGCTGGTCTTTTCATAGTATGTTATCCTTTCATATTGTGCTGGTCTTTTCATAGTATGTTATCCTTTCATATTGTGCTGGTCTTTTCATAGTATGTTATCCTTTCATATTGTGCTGGTCTTTTCATAGTATGTTATCCTTTCATATTGCGTGACCCCTGTCATATTGTGCTGGTCTTTTCATAGTATGTTATCCTGTCATATTGTGTGACCCCTGTCATATTGTGTTACCCGCGTCATATTGTCTTACCCCTGTCATATTGTGTGACCCCTGTCAAATTGTGTTACCCTTGTAATATTGTCTGACCCCCGTCATATTGTGTTACCCCTGTCATATGGCATGTCTCCATTTCATTTAACATCCTTGTCATACTGTGAGACCCTTGTCATATTGTCTGTCCCCCGTCGTATTGTGTTACCCCTGTCATATGGTATGTCTCCATTTCATTTAACATCCTTGTCATACTGTGAGACCCTTGTCATATTGTTTGAGCCCTGTCATATTGTGTTACCCCTGTCATATGGAATGTCTCAATTTCATTTAACATCCTTGTCATAGTGTGAAACCCTTGTCATATTGTCTGACCCCTGTCATATTCATTGACCCCTATCATATTGTCTGGCACGATGTCATATTGTATGTCCCCATTTCATTGTGTATCCCTGTCCTATTGTGTGAACCCTGTCATTAATATCTGATCCACTGTCATATTATCTGATCCCCTGTCCTATTGCGTGAATGCTGTCATATTATCTGACACCCTCTGTCATATCACGTGTCTCTAATCATGATATCCCAACCACCCCCCCCCCCTCAGGCATGTCCACTATTATATTCTGCTTAAATTCGTCTTTCACTTTTTTTCTACCCTCCAGATCCCGGAGTCGGTGTGGTGCATAGAGTCTTACTCCGACGTCACATCCTGCTATCACGGCTGCACACCTAACCACCTGTGTCAGCCAGATGAAAGAATCCACGGCCAGTTGAAACATGCCAAGTGTGGACATGTCGGACATCAGGAGCGGTCTTGGATTAACCAGCGGTCACTAACCTGACCCATCAGTAACCGTGACCCGTCCACACAGAATGTTGAGGTCAGCTAACAAAGAGCGTATCAGTTAAGAACAGGTTTTGGCGGGGAAACTTCTGTGGGTGAGTACGAACAGAGCAGTGTGTGATGAATGTTATAATTTTTTTAAAAAGTTTGTATTTTATTTTAACTTTTTTTGTTGTTGTTCCTTAATTAGCAAAATAGCATCTAATCTATAGTGTTTTTTTTTCTAAATTAAAAAAAAAAGAAAAAGAAAAAAAAAAGGAATTTATTATAATAAATTTTGCATTCTGCTAATAACAACAGAAACCAATTATTTAATTATTTATACACTAGAGTAAATGACCCGATGTTATCGGGATTATAATGGTAGGTCCTTTGCGATAATTTCTAACTGCTATTGCCAAAAACTCATCCCAAGTCATAACTTTTAAAATGTAATGATATTTACGTTTCTAACATCATTAAGTTTTGAGAAGTGTTTATCTGCTATATATGATACGCGTACCCTACACCCTTTCACGCTCCTAAACTACTTTCCCTCCTCTAAACGTGACCTTAACTTAGCCGATCTAAACCATCACATATTATATCACTTTTGTCACTAAAGTAGTTAAATGAGAGACAATTACTACGCTAGAGAAATACTTTAGATCTACCCCTTTTCGTGCCCTTGAATTTCAACTTTTTTATCTCAAAATTAAAAAAAAAAACTAATCTTAAATTTACAACAAAAACTCTATATATGATATAAATATTTTTTGTGTTACAGGAATTCAATATATATTGATATCTTCATCAAAAATTTAAACACATTTTTGCCTTTTAAAAAAAATACATTATCAGAAAATCGCAAAACAAAGAATTCTTTAATCTAAGAAGAATCTCGCAACTGTTTTTCACGCCTATATCAGATTTGACTGTCTTTAAAAAAAAAATTGTTAATCTCATAACAATACACACCTCTTTACTTTTTGCAAAGTAACAACAAAAATATATTTTCATTTAAAAAAAAAAAGAAGAAAATATTAACCCATTTTCATTTGTCAAAATTTAATTTTCAAGTGTGTAAAATGATTGGGTTTTGATATTCATGGATATACTAATATAAATGTACCCAATATTTGTTAACGCCATTGATTTTCCTAATTGGTAAACATGTTTTTTTTTGTAAAAAGAGAATTTAACATCTCTTTTTTCACAAATGTAATACCATAGGATTTAATTATATTGTCATTCACGTAAAAATGTACACATCCTTTTTCCTACCTCCGATATGAATGTTCCCAAAAAGGTTAATTATTTATCAAGTTCATTCCTTTATTTTGAGACGTATCTTGTGCTGCCTGGGCCAAAGTGACCAATCCCTTCCCCACCCAGATTTAAATAAATGTAAAAAATCTTCCACTAGATTGTTGTCCCTTCCATACCCAAACTAACATATTTTGCACTTCATATGGTTCGTTCTTATTTGTATAAATGAGGGACAATTACTACGCTAGTGAAATACTTTAGATCTACCCCTTTTCGTGCCCTATTGCTGCCCACAGATACTACTTACCAGCTAAGTGCTATTTCTTATTTTTATAACGTTTTTTCTGTTGTTTTGTTCGCTGACGAAGGCTTTCTGCCGACACGTTCGCTGTTTTGTTGCGTTTAATTTTTCAGGTTTAACCATACTCAGTTTTACTCATTTTATTTTTCCTAGAGGTAAGTATGGTTACATGCCTGGACTTGGTAAAAGTGATTTTGGAGGAAATTGAAAACCCAAAATCAGAGCTTGGTGAAACAAATAAGAACACAATTTTGCCCAGTGCAATCATACTTCAAACAGCTAGACGGCTCCAGGGACCTGACCTATATATTCTACACTGATGCCCCAGAGACCAATGCTCACTTCCTTACTTGGTGCCCTATAGATGGACCTTGGGAAGGCTGTAGATGGGAATGAGTCCTATGTTGTATCAGAGTGGCTCTCTGCTACCCAAAAGATGCTGCATATTTTGGATGTATTAGCATTAGCCAAAAAGAGCGAATGCACTGGGATTACCTAAAGAGTGGATTCCTATTAGTTCTAGAGAACTCAATTCGGTAAAAACAATGCTGATCAAGTTGAAATGTTTCATTTTTTAATCTGGCGGTCATATATCACTTATTTTAAGACAAAACTCTTTATCCAGACAAATGAAGTTTTAGTGGAGATTATTTCTTGTCCTAGGAACTTAATAACAAATCAATAATGAAACATTAGCTGCATTATCACACCACCTGACAAATCTTATCTGACACTTTCTAATACCAACATCACTTATATTATGCAAAGAGCATAAATATTGTATGAATAAAGGGATGATACCTGAAGAATTGAACAACAACATTAAGTGTTACAGGACTGAAGTTTTGTTGTTCCCAAGTATGCTGGGCCTTAAAATACAAAGATCACTGAGTCTCTGATAGATCAGGTCATAGCAAAGACAAAATTTACTACCACCATCCGCATAACAAATGAACATGACCAGAACAGAGAGAAGCAAGTTCCAAACCATTTTCCAAAATACCACTCTTCTGATAGGTCACCCTGTGTTCATGAATCATTTAAACCACCACTCTGAAGTTTTACTCCGTTAATTTTGAGTAAATTACAGGTTTTAAAAAATTAATAAAGTTATGGGTGAGCAACATGTAAACAATGCAAGTACAAATACTTAGCATAAAGATAAATTCTTTGAAAATCATCAAGGTTGCACGATAAGAAAATGAATTTACTGTTTAATTTTTTTTTTTTAAGCTAACCGTTTAATTTGTTTGTGAACTAAAAAAAAAGTTTTCTTGAAACAGACAAATAATAGTAATATGAAAAACTAGACTAGCTTTTATTGAATGTAATGCTAGTTGTTTTAAATGCCAATGCCATGCTGAAAATTGTTTTGAAATGTTTATGTGTATAGTAAAATAAAGCATATTTTAATGAAACAGAAAATTAATCAGTCGTTATTTAGAGGCAATGAGATCTGAAAATAACCAGATTTAGTACAATTATATGATATGACTCTAAGAGTCTCTGGTCCCTAAATAATATTAAAACTAAATTAGCAAACAAGAAAATGGGTATTTCTATAAAAATTATCTTTCTTTCTTAGAGGTATTCAGATGATCACATTATTAAGTGTCATATAATATCTCTCAAAACTACCTTATACAAAACATGCCATGTAAGAAAGACTGTGGCAAGCAGGTCAAAGGACATGTTATCGAAGACACTCAACAGACATAAGGTCATCATCTTTGGGTGATTTTAACTGTTTCCAAAGAAGATATCCACCACCTGGAGATTAAATGAAACAAGTAAACATTTTCTAACCAGTTTAGTACTATTCATGAACACATACAAAACAAGTTAAACCAAGCCAGTTGTAAAAGGTTTTGTTCCTGAAATATTTTTAGTGGCCATGCAGTGGTGAAGAATGTTATTTTTTTTTTTTTGACATGGGTGATATCTCTAAGATGGTGAGAGTTCGTCAGGTCGCTTACATCCCACCAGGCCCACCGCGGAATATGCTGAACCTTATTAACTTTACTTTTAAAAATGACAATTGACAAAGAGTTTAATTTTGTGAATGATTTAATTATTAATAAATAAATGGTATTTATCATTTAAAATAAAAAAATAGCCAACGCCTGGCGACAAACAAATGTCAATTTTCCCACCACCACTCTAGATATTACTGTCTTACCTTCTTCGTCCAACCTGTAACAATGGGACACAAGACTGCTGTCAAACATACAGTGGTGTCCATTGTTAACAGATGTCAGGCACTTCATACATGGCAATACAACATGGTAACCAACAACTCCACCACTGGAAAAAAACAACAACATTATTATTCTATTTAACAAGATTTGATTTTATCCTTTAAAACACGTTTGACTTTTTGGGCCATTAAAGAGCAAACTTGAAAAAGAACAAAGAGTTATTTAAATTATAATAAATACTTCTTATGCCTCAAAAGAAGCAACAACTCAATAACAGAAGAGATGTTCAGAGATGGTTAAAGCGGATTCAGTATAAATAGTTCTTTTATTAATCAACCATGTGAACTTTAACAGACTTTTAATGTGTTTGCTGTAATTTAGGTAAAAAGATGGCTATACGAATGTTTTTTTTTAGACCATCTAAATTCCCAGATTTCAATGCTGAAGCATTGAACCTCCTCATTTAAGTTTTTTAACAATCAGACTTTGTAAATGAAGAATAAGATACTGAAGCACTTAAATACAGTTTCTTTAACAAGTGCAGAGAAGTAATTTGACTTAATTATGATACAATGGAATGGAAAATTAAACAGACTTTGAGTTTACAATGAATCCTCTTATAGGTCTGAAAAATATATAATAAAAAAGAAACGTTACTGCTCTCACCAACACAAACAAGCCAGACTTTGAATTTTGCACTTGCAATTTTTTGCAGTAAACACTTCAGGTATCACACCAACAACACTGTTGAAAAAAAAGATCCAAAATTGATGTGATTTACCAGAGATTAAGCTTCAATGTTTCTCTAACAAAAAAGTTGGATCACTCAAGTTTATTTTATTACTTTTGGTATGTTCTTTTTAAGCATAATTTTAGGAAGACTGGGAGGGAAATAAACACAGCTCCAGGCCAACAAATTCATTGCGCTTTTTGGTATTTTCAAAGCCTTCTAATACAGTGATCCTTTGTCAATAGCGTTTTCATTTTACTGTCTCACAGATTTTTAACTGTTGCTATGCGATGTTGCGTTTGTAAAAAAAATGAGTTTATTTCAAGACCTAATATGTCGCCCAAACCTTCTGCGTTGTCTAAGCTATTTATATGAGTGTTGGAAAGGTTAATAGGTTTAAGAGCTTTGGGGAGGGTTTATAAAGCTTTAATATATCTATATATATATAAAATTAATTAAAGTCACAATTTTGGTGATTTTCACCTAATGGGAAGGGGTGGGGTGGGGGGTTCTGGAACCTAAACCCAGCGATAGACAGTGGAACACTATACTGTGTATTTCAAATTAGCCTATATCCTTTTTATAGCTTTGCAAATAGATTTTTTGTATTCATATTTGTTATGCCCAAATTAAACTGCTATGAAATCTAAATTATTAGCTACTCTTTTTCAAAATTAAAAAACAAACATTTTCATGGTTGGACTGCGATAAAACTTAGGTAAATTAATAAGACACAAACAGATTGTATAAGTAAAACAGTATAGCAAAGAGTTTCATAAATTAAACTTTATTCTTATCAACATCCTCTTGCATCCGTAAACTGGCATAGGTGATAACCAGCCCTTTCTTCTCTCTGTGATCTACTTAGTGACTTGCCGAGCAAAGCCCATCACCTCAGACTTTCTATTCAGGTCTTTTCTAAAAAATTCTTAGGCGACCCATGCCCTCTTCACCCTCTATAAGTGTTGGACTGCAATAAAGCTTTAAAATAGATTGATTAGACAAATTTACGTCGCTACCATCTCATTTTCCTGTTTGGTTTTTTAAATTTTACTTCAAATCACTTTCTTTCCATTCTTCTTTACTTTATTTCTGTCTGTTTTTTGCGCCCACTCCTATTCTTTTCTCTCTTTTAGGTAGGATACATGTATATATTTACATTATGTATATTTAATTTGTACTTATTTAAATGTTTTGATATTGACACTAATTGTCCATGTCTAATTAATCTTCTTCACCCTGAGACTTGCCTGCCTGGTATTCTAGTGCATTTTTTGTTCATCAACCTCCACTTTCTTTCCATTATTTCATTATCTGTTGGTAGATTCTGGGTCTTTTGCCACAGTTTAGCATTTAATATAAGATACGATTCTTTACTGATCCAAATAAATGGACATTTTTTTAAACATGTCTGATCATTTTTTTTTTATATCAATCATTTTTAGTTTTTCAATTTTTGAAAGAGAAGGTCTTCTAAATTTATTAATCTTTTGCTTCGGTCGCTCAAACATTAGAAAAATGCTGGATAAAAATATATAAGGTAAAAGGATTGCTTACTTTTTATCATATTTGTCAGTGGAAAAAAGCTCTGTCTTTCCATCAGCCACCAAGACAGCTAGCATGCCCCTACGGCACACTGTTTCCCCACACACTTTGCAATCCAAGATATAAACAACCTTTTTACCGAAACTTGGGTGCAAATTTGTTATAACCATTGCCTGCTAAAATTATTTAGAAGTCTCAATAACCTGGAATTAGAAAATAAATAAATAATTATTTAAATGGATTCAAAACTTAAATTACAAACAAATCAAACATTTTCAAGTTGTCCTGTGCTGTTATAAATAATGAAAGAGTAATTTTCTATTCTTTCTAGATTCATTTCACATTGATAATGTTTATCACATTGATTAACTTAGCTCATGATAACTTTTTAATTATCTGAATGCACAACAATCAATAGTAAATACTAGCCAGAAAGTATAAGGCTATTAAAAAAGACTGAAAATTATTGTTATTTATTAACCAAATAAGGTCCCTTTGTTAATTTATAAAATTTTTATATGGTTTTCACTGTTGTTTATTTGCTGAAGAAGGCTTCTTGCAGACACGTTAGTTGTTTTGTTACATCCATTTTTCAGTTTTCCTATACTTTGTTTGGGTAATTTCCTTATTCATAACTTGATTGCAGATCCTCCCACTTATTATCATGTTAGCGAATATGTAGGCATAAAATATCCATACTAATAGCTGTTGGATAACTTTAGCAGCTTTCAGAACAAAAAATGTTGGCCAACCCTGGTCTAGACTAATGCTCAGCAAACTTTTTTTCCCTATGATGCACACAATGAATTCCACGGCACACTACAAGTAAAAACATACATTTGAAAAAATACTGTGGCTAAAATTCATAATGGTGTGTAATAAATTTATTGTTCTATATAAACAGTTGCTCTATATAAACTGTCAGTATCTGACACTTTTTTGTTATTGCAGTGGTACTAGGTTAAGTAATGTCTTTTAGTATCCACCACTGTTTTAAAATAGTTAAATGCCTATACATACTCTCTGTGCTTTTCCTACTCTTGGAGGTATCACTAACTCCATACTTTGACTTATGTATGTCACACTCACATGTCATGAATGTGTTTTATAAATTAGAGTCTGGTTAGAAAGTTTAAGAGAGACCTTGCCAAAGTCAGTTGTATTTCTAGCTAGGCTAATAGTATAGTATAGTATTAGTACTACTTGTAGTATGACTATGACTGAATAGGTTTAATTCCTCCACTGATGTCAACTCAATGCCACAATCACGGTACATTAGTCATTAGCACACACAGTAGTCGTAACAGTAGCCTGAGTAGTTGCAGTGATGCAGTGAAAATCAATTAAAATTTAACCGATTTAACTATTTAATTTAGTACACTTAAGTCAAGTTAAGTTTAAGTTTTTTTAATTAAATTTATCAAGCACAAGCATTACTACTCAAGATGTCATTTAATTCAATTTAAGGAGTTAACAAAGTAATTTTAATTAAAGATTTTTAGCCTCATTACTCATTAGTTAGTATTTGTCTCACTCATTATCAATATTAGTCATAATGAAAATTTGTCCAGGCCTAGGCCTACACTTCTTTTACATTAAAAAAAAGTATTTACGTCTCGTTTAGACTTTAGTACTCTTACTAATACTATGTAACTTAATTAAGTCGTTTAAGACTATTATTTTACTTTGATTACAACTCCTTTGATAATGTCTATTATGTTCAAAAATTCCGTCTGAAGCGAAGACAAACGTGTAATTATTTATTAGTGCACGTTCTTCGATGAAAATGTGTCTGTTTGGACAGAAACAATGATAACGTCTTTGCGATTAAAGGGAGATTCCTGTGTCAGAACATTGTTACTATTTACGTTTAAAACAAACGATTTGATTGGATATTTTTGTTGGAGACCTATAAAATACATTTATTCGATTGGTTAGGGATTCCCTTTTCGGGAATCACGCCAGTGGCGAGAACTAACACGGAAGTACCACAATCCATTGCGCGTATTTAGAAAGTCTGTGTCGGAAGCACTCAGCCGTGACTCCCGACCCAGTACCAAGGAAGTGCAAGGTTTTACGATAATCCAACTTGGATAATCTGATGACTATAGTCTTTAAAAATGTCAGAACGGCGAAGCAAGAAAGAGAAGGAGATTGTGAATGAATTTGAAAACCATTTACGAGGTAAGTTATTATTTAGACGCATGCATTCAATCTGTTTAATGTTTTTGTTTATTAAGTCGAACACTATACTGTGCAAGTAGTGCTCATTCAATGATGAAAATGAAAGAAGAACTGGTCTTTGATAAACTTACTAAAACCACGGCCCATAGCAGACTCCAGCCATTAGTTTATCATGAATATATTCAATTTCAAGCTTTGTTATTGTATAGATTTTCTTGTTTCATATTTATATTCTCACTTTTCTAACCATTCTCTTTCTCTTGGCTTTCAACCGTCTACTTTAGTTTTATGCTGCAAGGAGTCGGATGTTTTATTTTAGTATAGTGTAGTAGCCGACTACCTTTTACACCGCTTTCTTCTGTTGTAGTAGTGTATTCGTACATCTTGTCAAAGGCAATTTTTTATGGAGGGAAAATAACTTGAAAAAGACCAGTACTTCTTAAATATAATATAAAGCAAAGATTTATTAAATAAAGTGTTGGTATTTTTACTCCCGCGCCCGTAATCTAGTACTGTAGTCTGTTGGCTACCTAATCGCAGTCACTACTTAAACTTAGATCTTAAGTTTTATATTACTACACTACTACACACACAGTTCATATTATTTTATATAGACCTAATATTTTATAAATATTAACTTAGGCCTATTACTAGTAATTACTAGCCTATCTAACTAGGTGTTAATTTGAAGAATGTACAGGTAGTAGTGCACATATTGAACAAGAAATTTTGTATAGATAAATGAACAAGAAATGTCTATAGTCTCCACTGGGCTTTATTTTATGATTATTCTTACAAGTCTTGCTACTGAAACATGATAGGCCTATATTTATTTTACACTATTACCGAATTTAATGTGATGTATTTTTAAAAAAGCATGCTAAAAAGTAGCATTCTATTAATGTTTTAGGCTAAAATGTTTTTTTAAAATCATTTATAATTCATATTGATGTATAACTTTAAAAAAAATGGTAAGAAAATATTTTACTTAAAACATTTCAAAATAGTTAATAAATAAACATAATTTAATACTAGCTAATAATTTTATGTTATCTTCATTTCAATCTGTTTATTGCTTTTCATGTTCTGGTATTATGTTGTCCAAGTGACCTAAAACATGTTAATCACAGTCATACCACAGGGATATCTTAGTGCTTTCTCTCCTTTTTTTTTTTTTCTTCACCTATGAATCACTATTTTTGTTTGATTTTTCCAATGTTAATTGATATATGAACAACATGGCGCTACATTTTTCCATTATTGATAACTTTTTAAACATGTTAATCACAGTCATACCACAGGGATATCTTAGTGCTTTCTCTCCTTTTTTTTTTTTCTTCACCTATGAATCACTATTATTGATTGATTTTTCCAATGTTAAATGATATATGAACAACATGGCGCTACATTTTTCCATTATTGATAACTTTTCATTCCTCACCATAATGTGTGTATGTATGTGAAATTTAAAGAATTTTTTTTTTAAAATGTAGAGGTTTTTGAGTATTCTATTTTGTCTGTCCACGAAATAGTGTTGAGTCATCTTCTGTGCACGATGAACAAACTGTATTTTTTTTTATTGAATGGGCTGTTGGTTGCCGCCTGTCCCTCTTCCTGGGGTTTACTGGTAATCATTGGTTCATTGTTTGGTTACGCCGTCTGCTGCTGTGTTCTCTGCTGTCCGCCCCCCCCCCCCCTTGCCCCTTTCTGTCCCATGACAGTTAAACCCATGGATCTCTGGAAGTGTACCAAGGGAGACAAATAAAACTGGTCAGGATTAAACTGCATGACTTCGTTGTTGTCAGTTTCTAAATCCCCCATCACCTTTGTTATTGATGAAGAGTAAGCAGATGACCTAGATTCTATCTATAAAGAATGACTTACAATGCTTTACTGTAGGCGTAATATTTTTTCACCTTCATTTTCTTCAAGATCTTTAATTACATTAAGAATCATAGCCGTGAATTAGTTCTAATTCCCTCCGTCATGGTCGTTTTAACAGCAACAATAACAACAACCAAAACTTAGTTGTAGCAGTGGCGTGGTTAGGGCCGCCCAGGGTGGACAAACTACACCCTCCTCTCCTCCCCCCCCCCTCCTTATTTTTTGTCCACGAAAAAACTCTGTCAGTTGGCCAAAAATGCTGCCTCTCAATATAAAGAAAAAATAACAGCCGGCGCAGAGTTCCCACTTGACACCCCATAGTCACGCTTGAGAGTTTGAGTTTGAAACAGACTCGGCAGTCCTGATTGTAATGGGCGTGGGTTTTGGGTAATTCACAGAACACGAGAACCGTTGACTGATGACAAGAAGCTAGAAGGGTGGGGTGGGTGTTGAATGTATCACTGGCAGGGCCGGCCCTAACAATTGCGGGGCTCCAATGCGAAACGGATTGCGCGGGGCCAAGTCTGGGTAGGGATAAGGATAATAAGTGAACATTAAGATTTTGTATTAGAAAAAAAGTGCGGGGCCCACTGCGGCCGCATAGGTTGCAGTGGCCTAAGGCCGGCCCTGATCACTGGGTTACATTTTGTATATTCTTGTTAATTCAACTGATAATTACACGTGTTGGTTCCCGTCGTAGAAGGCTTTAGTCTCACCCCCACCCCTCCCCGACCCCCTTAAATACATTATCACGTCGGCCAATTAATAAGCTTCCTTCTGCGTTTAGAACCCAATGAATAAAATAGCAAAACGAGGTATGTGGAAGCTTGTATTAGAGAACAGGACAAAAGGATAAGGACGTTTCGGCATAAAGCCTTCTTCAGCTAACAGTAGAAATGAAATGTCACGTTGCTACTGTTAGGTGAAGAAGGCTTTATGCCGAAACGTCCTTATCTTTTTGTTCTGTTCTCTAATTCAAGCTTCCACATACCTCGTTTTGCTGTTTTATTCATTTACTAGGCTTGAATGCAGTCCTTTAATTTATAGTTTTAGATCCCAAACGTGTCACCGGTTAACTTACAATTTTTGGCTTACACACGCATACACACCCAACGAACCCAATTTAGGGTCGTGCATTCTTTAGTCTCGACTTGCAACTCCAGGGACTGGTGTGCCGCTTGCTGTAATTACATAACCAACGTTCAGTAAGCACAACTAAAATGTTGGTCATTATAAAATGCTGATTCCGAGGAATGACAGAGGCGGGCTTTAGCGTAGACTGGTCACCCAGCACACGTTTTATCTTGTTCACCCCCTTACTGGATATACTCACTACGTTATTTTTGGGATGAGCTGGCATATCCAATCAATACTTGGCTCATATACAAAAATCGATGGACTTTTCTTATTTTCTATGTTGATGCTTACGGTCAAACTGGTTGCCAGTGTTACGTATGGGATTTTATTTGTAAAAATCTCGCTCTTTTTTTTTTTTGTGGGGAATTTTAGCAAATAAATCCACCATGGTACATGAATTCCAGACAACTATTAAGGGAATGGTGATATTTCTAAATGTAGCTGATAGCCGTCTAGATTGAACGGACCATGTTGCCTCCAAAGAAACCTGCCATTTATTTCAATAAAACCGTGGGAATTAAATATATATATATATATATCGCCGTTAGACCTGATTTTTGTACACAGGTTGTACCGTCGATTGAGTTGTTACCGTCTGTTTGCCAGGGTCAAATCTTGCAATCGATTGACCCATTTCTTCTGAACCGACGTCCTTTCAATTTCGCACAGATTCGTATTTTCGTTGACAAAACCAGTTGATGTTTTTTTGTTGTTTTTTTGCCCGGCACTTAACTTTACCAGTACTTCAACTGTTTTTGAACGCAACTGGACTGATGCTCCGTACATTCAACCGTGAAGGCAGGTACTCACTGAAAATGACCTCGTTTGTGATAATGCTTGCGGAGAACGAAGCGCCCAACAAACAAGTACAACGAAAACTCTCTGTACTGGAATTGGATACATCGCCACAAACAAATTGACGACTCAATGTACTGCAATTGAATACATTGTCACAGACCATCACGACTCCCCATGTACCGCAATTGAATACATTGTCACAAACCATCACGACTCCCCATGTACCGCACTCCCCATGTACCGCAATTGAATACATTGTCACAGACCATCGCCACTCCCCTATGTACCGCAGTTGAACACATTATCACAGACCATCACGACTCCCCTATGTACCGCAATTGAATACATTGTCACAGACCATCACGACTCCCCTATGTACCGCAGTTGAATACATTGTCACAGACCATCACGACTCCCCTATGTACCGCAATTGAATACATTGTCACAGACCATCACTACTCCCCTATGTACCGCAATTGAATACATTGTCACAGACCATCACGACTCCCCCATGTACCGCAATTGAATACATTGTCACAGACCATCGCCACTCCCCTATGTACCGCAGTTGAACACATTATCACAGACCATCACGACTCCCCTATGTACCGCAATTGAATACATTGTCACAGAAATCTAAAACGAAACCAACAACTTTATTTAGTGATCGTTTTAACGAAACCAATTGACGAAGTCAGTGTTAGAATATCTGATTATTATTATTATTTGGTTTCCTCTTGCTGCTGTTCAACTGTCCTATTACGTGGGCTGATTTTTATTTTTTGTGTGTTCCAGCTGCAGGAAATCTCATTTGTCGAGGGCCTCAAGTGTGTATGCATTAAAAG